ATTTGAAACCCAAACTTACAGCAGTTAATATGACAGTAGGTGTCTCACAGTTTTCCATGACACATGCACACAGACACACACACCTACAAGGTCAATATTAAATCAGTTATGCTTTTGCAGATAGTAAATTTGTAAAGCCAAATTCAAACAGCATTTAAATACACGTTTCATTTGACTGAACTGACACCAGCACGCACTCACTGGACAATTCATATGCTACACCAATATGGACATTTTAGCCCTTATTGACATGATGCCAGATTGAGATCTGGTTACTGTGGAGGTCATCTGAGTACAGAAAACTCATTGTCATGTTCACAAAACCAGTTTGAGGTGATTTATGCTTTATGACATGGTCCATTATCCTGCTGAAAGCAGCTGGGCATTGTCAGCTACAATATTCATGTACATTGTGGTGTCGCCCTGTGCTGTCTTTTGCTCCTGTAGCCAATCTGCTTCAAGCTTTGACAGGTTTAGCATTAAGAGATGCTCTTCTGCATACTTTGGTTAATTTGAGTCACTGTTTCCTTCTTATTCAAAGTATTCTTTGAACTCTGACATCACCAAAGCCCAGAGGACCAGTTTGAGGTGATGGATTTTTTATTTTATTTTTTAAATTTCAGGTTTATTTTCCAGAGTATATTGTTTTACATTTTTTATCAGTTTCAGTGTTTTAATCTTTTGAATTATTATTGTATGAAGGGCATATGCCAGAGGCAAGATTTTGAAGAATCAGTGTAGGTGTTATAATAAAGACAGATGACTCAGTCGTGTAAATATCCAAAGTCTAAATAAAGATCAGGTAAGTTGTAATAAAATTAATTAAATTAACAAATACTAAGGATGTTTCTTCTGTATTTTTTGTTTTCCACGTTCACAAAATAACATATCCATTTAAATTTCATTTTCACATCAAGTTTTATTTAACAAAAACCTTGCAAAGAAAAAGTGCTGCACACTGGTTATTTTCTCTTTCAGACCCAGAGATGGTTGTGTGGGAAAATCCCTGCAGATCAGCAGTTTCTAAAACACTCAGATCAGCCTGTCTGGCACCACCAACCATACCACATTGAATGAGTTGCTGCCATGCGATTGGCCGATTAGATATTTGGATTAATGAGCCATTATACATAGAGCGGCCATCGAGTCTGTCTTAATTCAAACACAAAAAAGCAGCATAGTCCAATACCAAATTTTATTCAATGTCAAGGTACAAAACAGCCTCCATTCAAAAAAAAAAAAAAAAAAAAAAAAAAAA